TGGAGTGTTGTACTCAAAAAAGCACTTCTCGGTGAATGGTTGAAAATAGATTTATAGGTTTATATATAGGTTCTACAGGTTTATTTGCATACAAGGGGTAGTTCATTTGTTGACGACTCCAAGAAAATAATTCGAGATCCATTGTTATGTCTCCTATACAAGATCCTAAACAACATTACCTAAATTATATATATAATTATTGTATATGTATTCGTACAGCTCATTCCACTATAAGTACAATTAACTAAAAATAATTAATAGCATTTTTGTGAAATTTAACATTTTACAGTTAATCAATGTATTTATATATTTTATATACGTAATATTGAAAATAGACAATTCTACGACGACATTATTTTTTGCTTTTGCTTTTATTAATAGTTGTTTTTTCTTTCGTTTTGTTATTTGTTTTTTTTTCCTTTGATATAGCTGGTTGCTTTTTGGCTGACGTAGCTTTCATACTCGTCGTGCAAGTGCTTATTTACTTTTGCAGTTGTATGTGTGTGTGCGTGTGTGTGTTGCTGCAGTAATAGTGTTTCTTGTCGTCAATAAGCTTATAAGTATGAAAAGTTCAATATAATTTAATCAATTCAGGGAAAAAGAAAAGCAATAAAAATCAAGCTTGGTTTTTTTTTTTGAATTCTGCAAATATATAACACATATTTAAAATGATAGAAATATACGCTTGCTTGTTACATATTAACTTCGAACCACGGAAAAGCATAAGAGCAGTAATTATTGTACAAAACAACAAAGCATGCTGCTGGCTGGTATGCTTAGCTCGCCGCTACTAGTGACGCGACGGACAATAGAAGCAACAAAAACAAAACATAAATATGCTAAAGAAATAACAAATTTTTACCGGTACACCAGCTGTTTTCAATGACGAATTGAAAGCAGCTGATGTTGTTGTTATTGTTGTTAGTATTGTTTTGTTTGCTGCTGTTGCCTGTGCTGTTACTAATGTAGTTGTTGTGGTTGTTTTTGCTTTTTATGTGTAGTAGATGTCACAAAAATGTTAATGACATTTCGAGTGCACTTTAGTTTTTTTTAAAGGTAATTAAAAAAAAAACATAAGATGAAAATATTATGAAATAGTGTAAAAAGCAGAAACAAAAAACAAATGTATTAAAAATATGTAGAAAATCAGTATTTATTTTTGCTAAAATTACAATTTCTTTTCTCTTTATAGTTACTAAATCTTAGAATAGTAAGAGGAGATGGAAATATATATAAGTACATTAAAATAATAACAAAAACAGACGATAAAGTTTCTGACTTTTGCTTAAACAACAAAAGCAGTAAGTAATGTTAATAATTTATTAAAAAAAATTACAATTATTGTAGATATTGCACTGATGAAATAATTAAATTTACACAAAATTATATTTAAAAAGAATTTGTATTCAGTTATTTGTTATTTGTTACAACGTTTTATTATATAAAATATATAACAAGGCAAGATACATTCATTGATATATATACAGAGATACATTCATACATTTCATTGAATGTATCTTGCCTTGTTATATATTTTATATAATGAAACGTTGTAACAAATAACTGAATATAAATTCTTCTTTAAATATAATTTTATGCAAGTTAGTTACCAGAAGCATATAAATTCAACTAGTATTAAATTAGTCACCAAAAGTAACGAGCGAAGAGTTTAATTCAAGTCTAACTAGTATGAAACTAATGTGATAAGAAGTAATAATTGATAGAAATATTAAAAGCATTCACGAGAAAAGCTAGATTGTCTATAAGGATGAGATACTTTCAGTTAGTAAGTAACAAGTTGTTTATTTTATATATAAGAAACTCTAACGAGTAAAGTTATTACTCTATCAAATTGAAACACTCGTTGATTGGTTGGTTGCAGTGGCAGATCAGCAGTTTTTTTTTCTAAAAATTTAAAGTTTAATAGATCTTTTACCCATCAACAGTCTGAGAAATTGCTAAAATAGTACTTCTTTAAAAACGTATTTCTTCTGGAGAGTAATGAAACTCTGTTTCGAGAGTATATAAAAAACATACAAAAATTCTAACGAGTTAAGTACTTCTTAGTTTATACAAACCAACCAGATGAATGCATATCACAACTTTCATAAAAAAAACAAATTGCTATAGCATAAAATTGATATATAACAAAATATTACGTCTAATTTAGCTGCTTTTAAGAACGGCCGAGTCTACATTCCGAAACCACACGTTGAGTTCGACATACAAGTAACATTTCACACTCCCAAAAACCGACAGCACAGACAGATTCCTGCCCACTACCACAACAGTTTACTTAGCTAAATACGTTTTGTATTACAAGTAAGGTTTCGATCAAGAAGGAAGTGAGAGAGATCATTGTTCTTATAAATTCATATATTTCCCCAAAGATGTAATTTAGACAACTCTAGAAAATATCTTAGAAATGCACGATCTACTAATAGTTGAACATGAATTAAATATAAAATGAAATTTTCATTGATAAATTTTAAAACTTCTTAAATGGATGCATACCATTTTATTTAGGAGTACGAATTAATTTGAGATTAATGGAATTTAAATTGAATTCAATCAGAATCAAGGTGAAGAATCTGACCACTAAATTGTGGCGGTCGATTGGATTTAAGTTTTCGTAAGTATTGTGGCTGAAACACAGATGGGCGATAAAGCTGCAGTTAGTGCATTTATGCGTCATACAAGTTACTACATATACTCTTAATCTTAATAGAGCTAAGACAGATTATGTTGCAGGGGGAAGACATCGATCTTTCTGGGAGTTATTAGACGGAGATTTATTAAGAGTTATATCAATATATGTTGCTATATTCATGATATAAATAAAGGAGTCGGTGAATGCATTTTGGAGGGAGCACTCTACTACACATGATATCTTTGGGTTGCAACACGTAAGCGGATATTTCATGAACAACAGTTGGATACTTTTAAGATAAGCATTCTAGATTCTGTATAAAGATGATCAATATGAAATTGCAATCCGCAGAGTCGTGTTATGACAGGATTGTAATTGAAAAAAAAATACACAATATAGTCATATTGTTTTTTTATTTTAAAAAAAATTACCATTCGAACATAGATTAGTTGGTAGCCCATAATTGTCCGAACAAAGAGCTTTCACTGTATCACTTCACAACTAAGTAAGTGAATAAACTTTTATGACAAAGAAACAGAATCGGTCAGACCAACGTTTTATTATTCTTTCCTTTTATTATCCTTTCCTTATTAAGAAGGAAAACATAATAAATAATTTTCAAAAGTAAAGAGTATTGATAACCCTTTTCAATTCACTGTAATAGACAGCTGTTAAGGCATAACCATATGATCACAAAATAAATACTACAAGGGTTAAAATAAATAGAAATGTAAAAGAGTGTAAATAGGAGTGTAAAAAGTAGATCACAAGAAATTAACATTATTGGTATTTTATTTTTATATAAACATTTGGAATATTAGATATTATAAGAATATATGATTGTATAAGAAAAATAATTTTAAATGCATTAGTAGAACTTAATTTTTCAATCAAAAAAAAATAAAATAAAATCAATTAAATATTTCCTACTTCACTGTATTTCATTTAAGAAGTTTTAAAACTCCATTGCACAAATTAAAAAATTTTTCATTTTTATTAAGGAGTGAAAAAATGCAATATAAAATAAAATAAAGTAACATTAAAAATAATGACAGTCTATCATGTGTTTTCATTGTTGCTCGCATCCCACATCACCATTTATGGGAGCACAAAACAGAAAAAAAAGCAACTGACAAGAAGAGCAATGACAAAAAAGAACATTATTGTATGTACCAAAAGCAAAACACGAGAAAAAGTGGCGTCACTTTCTTCCAGTGCTCGTTGGAATGGAATACTCATTCGAATACAGAAACAGAAACACCAAAAACATATGAAACGAATTGATAAAGGAAACGCGCAAACAGAACAGGCATAAGCAGCAACCGCATGGAAATATGAGCGACACACAACACACCTTTCTGTACCTTGTTTTTGTGTACAATTTGTTTTGTGCACAATCAACGTAAAATCTGCATAACAAAGAAAGACAGTAAAATATT